AACAGGCCATCTATTTCTTTCTCATTGGCATTTAGGGCTTGCCCAATTTCTCAGCTTTTAATTTCCCAACATGAGGGATGCTCAAAAGTTGTGACACGCCTTGGGGATTGTAAAGATATTTTGGTTACTTTAATACAATTTACGGTAGATGTGCTTGGTAAGTGATTACAGAAATATCATAACTTTTTCACATTTTGTTTTATTTGAATATTATCATTTGCTTTCATAAAATGAATCCAGTTAGAAGGGAAAAACAAAACCCACCACATACATATATAGGGACTGATAGCTTTTTAAAAAATTAAGTAGGTACAATTTTACATTACCAAACAAAGCTACATTTTTTTAAAAAACTGAATCCGAATACAAAACCAACAGGATTTGCTACAGCTTCCTAACTGACATAGACTTACTGATATATTTGCTGAAATAGATTCATGTTGCTGTATTAGATGGAGGTGAAACTAAAGATTTGCATGGAAATACCGCAGCTAGTACAAAATGTGGATAGTCTCTCTTTTGTGGCAATCTAGATGCATCAATGTTGTACACTGCTATAGTGCAGAGTGGGGCTTCTCATTTTCTCTCTGAAACAACAGGTATTTGGAGCAATGAACTCTTAGGAGTACCAACTGCATGGGCTAGTATCAGTGATGAACTGTGTATCTTACCAGTATATATTTCCATATTTTTATATATAAAACTTCAATATTATCTATTTGTATAAATACAACAGGGAAACCGTCAGCTGGCAATAAAAATAGATCTACCTCATTCATGTAACTGTACAAGCTTCATTCATTAACAGTTCCCTGTGAGAAAAAGAGAAGTAAATTCATCCAGTCTTGAATAAAGTCCTCTGTGTTCCTTTCAGAGTTAAAGGTGACTTAGAATTCCTTTCTGGCAGTAACAGCAGCAGACTGCTATCAGTAATAACCCGAATGCTGCAGGTTCCTTGTTACTGGACTGTAGCATGGATTTCTCTAATCTCTGCAATCTGCAGTTCTAAAAGGCAACAAAAATAACAGAAGAATCCATCCGATGAAGATATCCTCCCACAGAACTCTTATAGCAATAGTTATTAGACTTATATACCGCTCTACAGTGCTTTCCAGCCCTCTCTAAGCGGTTTACAGTGTCAGCATATTGGGTCCTCATTTTACCCACCTCGGAAGGATGGAAGGCTGAGTCAACCTTGAGCCTGGTGGGATTTGAATTGTCAAATTGCAGGCAGCTGGCAGGCAACAGAAGTCGCCTGCAGTACTGCAATCTAACCACTGCCGCCACCAAGGCTCAGTGGCTAATGAGGCCAAATTAGAGTGATCTTGAAGATCTTCTGGAAGGGAAGGAAAGGGAAGACATTGGCAGTTTCTAAGGCAGATAAATGCTAAGAAACAGTTGCTTTACAGTTTACATCAGTCCACCCTTATTTATATTTGGACTTTTCCTTATCTTTGGACTTTTTGGGGTTCCTGCCTGACTTTCTTTCTTCATAATGATCTCTTTCCCAGGCTTCCTCGGAATGCTTGTCTTTAGACTTTTTGTGATGGCTTTCTCTCTCCCGGGAATGGCTCCAACATCTCTCTCGTTTGTCACTTTTTCTTTTCTCCCTATCGAATTCTTCTTTGTGCCTTTGGCTAGGCTCCTGAGAGAAGAAGGAGGAAAACACAGTTTATGTATTGATGAAACAGATGAGTGGAGAAGAGGAACACTAACAGTTTTAAAAGTCTGCCTGATGATTTTCTTGCTAGTCCTACAGAATGAATAGCAATGTACCAATTAATTGTAAGTAAATGATGTCTAGCTAGTTCTTAAAAGCAATGTTAGTGAACCTTTTTGGCACCAAGTGCCGAAATGGGAGCGCAGACACCTGTGGGCACCAGAAACCGGAAGAGCAGCTGCCCAGTGCATGTGCACACACCAGGAATATGATCTTCCGGTTTTTGGAGTGTGCATGTGTACCAGCATGCTGGTCTTTGTGCACGCATGTGTGCTAGAAACCAGAAGACTAGGTGGATGGGCGCAGGAGCGCTGGAAACGGTAAGATCATCTTCCCGGCGCGCTTGTGCACCGGGCAGCTTCTCTTCCGATTTCCGGCACTCCTGTGTGCGTGAAGATCAGTTGGCCGGCACGCCAGAACCCTGAAAGAGCAACAGACGATGGCTCGCGTGCCCGGAGAGATGGCTCTGTGTGCCACTTCTGGCACGAGTGCCATAGGTTCACCAACACGATCTTTAAAAGAAACCCCTGGGAAGAACAAAATAATCTATCCTGCATGGGTATAAAAATAAGTGTTTTTTGTGATTTGAAGCTCATAAAACAATAAATAAAAATGAGAAATTTCTATGCTTTATGATTTAAAATACAGCATTAGTCAATATACCTAATTTATGATTGCTGACTTAAACATAACAATCTGTCTCTATGTTATCAAATTAAGGCAGAGATTGTCAATTCTGAAGCCCAATGCACACCCCTTTGAGTACCTCCAGATAAAATTAGCTATGAGGGGCCTTCTGGGTATAACAGGAGGTGAAGGTGAAAGGCCAATGCATTTATTATGGACTAGAACAGCTATAATTTTTGACCACTCACCATGCTGACATGGGTGGCAAAAACTGTAATCCAAGATATCTGGAAAGAAAGATGCTTTCCCTTGCAGATGCTACTGAGATCAGTAAATCTCTAATTACTTAAAACATTAGATTTGAACCTTGACATGTCATAAAACAATGTTATATGAGCCTCAGTGGCGCAGTGGTTAGAGTGCAGTACTGCAGGCTACTTCTGCTGCCTGCCAGCTGCCTGAAATTCAAATCCCACCAGGCTCAAGGTTGACTCAGCCTTCCATCCTTCCAAGGTGGGTACAATGAGGACCCAGATTGTTGGGGGCAATATGCTGACTCTGTAAACTGCTTAGAGAGGGCTGTATAGCACTGTGAAGCCTTATATAAGTGTAAGTGCTATTGCTGTTGCTATATACTCTGGAAACAAACATAATAGCTCTGTGGGGGTTCTTTTTTCTTGATGCTATTGTATGTTCCTTCCCAGCCTATCTTTCCTGGAGAAGATGAAGGCACAGAGAAGGAAGGAAGGAAGGAAGGAAGGAAGGAAGGAAGGAAGGAAGGAAGGAAGGAAGGGAAGGAACAGAACATCGTCCTGCATGAATGGAATTTATCTATAAAACGTAGAAGAAACCAACTAAGGTAATTTAAGCTGCTATAGAGTGTTATTACACTTTATTTTTTTGGGCCAATATCAAATATTTCACTTTTGTTTTCAAACTAGATTCTGTTAGGATAAGAAGAACATGAAGACGAAGATGTGTCTTTGTGTGTATATTTCTATGTTCCCATTTTTCACAAGTGATTGAAACTATTGACCGTACTATTAAGTGGGAAACAAACATCCTACACAAAATTGTTACACTACTTGGGAATGGTATCTAATCTGATTTTCAGCTAAGCTTTTCTCTTGCTGATTTAACTTTACAGTCTCTCGTCTAGCAGCTCTGATACAAGAATAGGGTTTCATAATTTTTTTGCTGTGTATTTCCTCAAATGTTTTTCCCAATCTGTTATCATAAGCAAAATGTTTCTTTGTTTTCCAGGGTTGAATCAGATTTGTTGTCATGGCCAACAGTGTACATCTTAATAAATTGTAATGTTAAGAAATGTGTTCTGAGATAATTTCTAGCAAAACAAAACCCTGAGGTTTCAATTCAAACTTTGTTTTTGAGATTATTTCTTTCTTTCTAGTGACTTCAGAGTTTTTTCCCCATAACAATCACATACAATAAAATATTCCAGCACTTTTTTGTCATATGATTTACCTATTTTTGTGATTATTAACAGTTGTTTATTTCTTTTTATGATCCTGTAATCCCTTTTGTTGGGGCAACTGAATGGAGCTGAGCATTTACTGGCCAGATGCCCTTCCTGATGCCTACACTGAGTTCACAGCAACTATTTACTCTTTGCATCTTGACAGAGAACCATCTGTTGCTTCTTAGGATTAAACTCTCAACCTCTGGAGTGTGAGTACATGTTTTCACCTCTAGGCCTCACTGCTCCTCATTAACAGAGTTTTATATACCATCTGTAACATATTTATGTCAATTTTCTCTTAAATTATAGCTACTCAAAAGGTTGGGACCCATCATTTCAAGTCTACCAAAGGCGACTCATTTACTCAAGCCCATTTACTAGAAGACATTTTTTTTAAAATAGCCTTTTCTTTCGCTATGAAAGGTATTCCAGTTTATTGATGTTTTTAGACAGCACTTTAAAACAATATTAAGTCAACAGGTTCTGGTTTCAAGGAGTTAGCATTTTACAATTTTTCAGAAAAAGACTATTTGCTATCCAAAGGAAATCAAATTTCAGGTAAAACAGACATCCAAGCAAAAATGTACAATTAAACAACTAGAAACACTGGACTGAATGAAAAGAGTACACTTAAGGTTAAAGGGAGCTTAGATCATAACCAGAAAAAACAGTTCTAAAAAGCCTGAAATTCGATAAATTATTTAGAATGCCTGGGGAATATTTCATAGCCAAAAACAGATATCTGAGGAAACTATATTGGAGATAGTCAAAGGTTTCTTCTTATTTGCAAATGAATAAACAAGAAGATAACAAGATAACTAATTTAAGCCAGTACCCATACCAAAAAATAAGCCCTCCCTGGATAATAAGGCCAATTGGGCTTTTGAGCAAATGCACTAAAAATTTTCCCTTCCTGAAAATATTGCAACAAAACAGCAGCCATGAGGTGACCATGCTTGCCGCCTCCTGCACCTCAAAAATAATAAGACCTCCCCAAAAATAAGGCCAAGCGCTTATTTCGGGGGTCAAAAGAAAATAAGACCCTGTCTTATTTTCGGGGAGGTCTTATTATTTTTGAGGTGCAGGAGGCAGCGAGTGTGAATAACCTCATGACTGTTGTTTTGCAATATTTTGGGGGAGGGCTTATTTTCGGGGGAGGGATTATTTTAGCATTCAAAAGCCCAATTGGGCTTATTATCCGGGGAGGTCTTATTTTTGGGAAAACACAGTACATACGTACGTATGTAC